TTAGACTAATTCAAATTCGGTTTTCAAAAGCATTTATTCAAGTTACAATTCAGTTTCAGTCTGAGCAATTCAAATTCAAATTTAACTTATTCAAATTCAGTTTCTGATGGCACAGATTTCTGCCCATAGTATGGACAATGCTTATAAATGAGGGTACCATGATTACAGGAAGTGGATGCAGTTGGATGATGAGATGTAGGTGAAAATAATCAAAGACAATTTGATTAGTAAAACTAAACACAAAGACAATAAAACAGTAAAATGAGAACCATAACTAAAGGTGGGAACAGACACATGAATGAACTTCACATAAGAAAATTGGCACAAAAAGCTTTGACAGGAAACTCTAAGGGAACAAATTAAACACTAAAACTGAGACTAAACTATAACAACTACTAAAGTCCAAAATACTCAACGTTTTGTTCATAATAATGAATACGGGCATCAAACAAGACACATAATAAACTACTGTAAACTATCATTCAAGATCATATCTACAGTGCACAAACAGGTATATTGTCACAAAAAGGCCCGGAGGCCGAGTACCAAAACCAAACCCATGTGCAGAGAACTCAAAGCGGAGGCTGAGGAAAGGTTTTAAAAATTTTATTAACTAGCACAAGGATGATATTTACAATGGCACTTGGCTTAAGGCTTGACAAATGGGGTGTGGGGGTCTTGGCTAAGAGAGTGGAATAAAGTAAGGTGGCATGTCCAAGAAAGCAACGGGAGCTGGGCTGGTGATTACGTACGCTAATGTAAGTGTTGAAGGAATCCCCCAACAATAGAATAGAGGAAGTTAAACGTGTGAAGACTGTTAGTTAAGATAAGTCTTTGCATAAATCCAAGTCTCCTGTATGTTTGGTTTATTATTAGAAAACAGGTTCATGATGATGTTTTCCTGCACACATAAAAAGAGGTCACGATTCAATCTCAGAATTTGATTTAACTGTTCACAATGAAACATAGTAGGGGAGACCGGGGATAGTTGTAACGTGGGTCAGTTGTAACACTTCCAATTTCTCCAATCAGGGCTAAGTTTCAAATGATGTGACTCATCCTGCCCAACTCAGTTCTGCTATCACATGTGAAAAATCAGCACATTTTGTCAAACACAGACAATTTAACATGAAAAAAAGTAATTTGTATGCCAAAAAGTAAGTTTTTCTACTTTATTTCAATGTTTAATAGCATTATCTGCTTTGCAGTTAAACTCATCAAATTTAAATTATGTT